GATGGCTGCACTAAAAAACCATATTTGGAAATATTTTTTATTATATATGAATGAACAGCAGTTCCAGCCAATGGTATCATAAGCTAATACTATTTCATTAATATTGAATATTCAATAGTATTATTCAATAATAATGTAATATGTAACATACAATAATAGTATATAAAATTATAGTAAAATTATAATTAATATCCCTGGCATTGGGAGCTCTATAGTAGTTAAGTTCTAAAGGCATTCTGGATTGGCCAAGTTTTTACAAGCTTCCAGAAGACCAGGAGAATTAAAGCAATCTAGGTGTGCAGCTAAGTACACAATCTGGACTTCAGCTCAGAAACTTCCAATTTTTGAGGAGGTGAATGTGTATAGGGCTCACTGTTCAATGCATGGATGTAGGGTGGAATTTGAGAAGCTTCAACATGACCAACAAGTCCAGAGTCACATTCCCACAGGCACATAACTGCATGGACCTTTTTTCAAGTTAAATGTGCTCTAGAAAATAATAGAATTAACTTCCAGCTTATATTTAGTTTAGTATATTAACTATTTGTGATTTTAAATATGTTTTGCAAACTACTTGTATATTTGAAGGGTGAGTTATAATTATAAACAGTAAACATCTATTAAGTCTATGGCTGAATGTAGTGAAAAAAATACATTAAATACAAAATTTCTAACTACACTTGTCTACACTCCTTTATGTATGAACTATATTTGTACAAATATAATTTGTACATAAAATACAAACTACACTCCTTTATGTACAACTTATATTTCAGTTTTTGAACACTGAAAAATGCACCTAGTCTTTTAATTCAGTGGCACATGCAGCTTCCTTAAGTAAACTGAATGCTGGATTTAACTTGACAAATAAGTGAACCTGAAAGGAAGAAAGTGGTAGGGTAATGGGAGAACAAGTGAAAGTTGCCTGAGAATTCCACAGCAACTCACTCCGTTTACACTTATGATGGCCATTTTGCAATAGAGCTACAAGTTACATAATTATACATCATAGCAGTAAGTGTGGGTTTTTTACTGCTCTGCCAGCCTAATATGGAGAGTAAAAAATAATGGTACTGTAAGCCATTTAGAACCTGATATACAGTATTCAGAGTGAATTCAATTGTTTTTAGAAGTACCAAAAATAAAATTGCTAGCCTCCAAGAGTGAGAAATGTGAGTAGTGTGTGAATATGGATTGTTGACTGGTGGTCTAATGAATAGAGATTTCTGCAATGGTAGTGCAAATGGTTGATAACTTGTAATGGACCAAGGGAGGTATAGTGAGGGGCAGAGGTTGGCTATTCCAGCAGAAGGGAGATTGACAATTCGATGTTAATCTCTACTTTTGGTCCAGCTATCTAATCTTTGGTCCTGGTGGCCAGTCCATTTGTTACCTTGGTCTCAAGTTGTCAGTGGTAAATACCAGCTAATAAGACTTTGGTCATCCACAACTTGGTGGTGGACAAGTGAGTGGACATGGCTTATATTATTGGAGATCTGCATTCCCAGTTTCCAGATCATCCAGAAACTTTGATGCTGAGACTGTGTGAGTATATCTGTGCCAGAATGTTGCAAGATCTGTAAAGAGCACTGTGCCCTAACCAAGGCCTCTGCTTCTGAAGTGATGGGTGTGAGTGCCTGTTTTTTAAATTGGGCCATAGGAACCAAAGTGGAAAGCCTGCTGATGATTCAGTCACTGCCAGCTGGAAGGGCTGTACTTGAAGGGTTGCCTTGAAGCTGGTGTTGGAGTCACCTCCCAGGGGCTGGGCTCAGGAAAACTTGGGAGTTCATGATCATCATGGTGGTCATGGATTTCTCATTTATTTCTGGCTGGATATATGGAATAGACTACACTTTTAGTTGAACTCTTAACGGGATCTGCCTTGTGAATTAACTGTTACTTAGTTCTCCTTTCAGAACAGCTATGCAAAAGAGTCCATTAATTGACATACCATAGCAAAGTGAAGTTTCTGATTTGTTGTTTTGTTTTCTCTAAAGTGAAAGAGATATTAATGAAACAGTTTATTTCAAGATTTTCACAACTGGGCAGAACATGGATCAGGGGGCTTTTTTCAGCTATTGTTCCATTTCCTTCAAATGTCATTGACTTCAATTGAGTTCCATTTCCTATACCTATCGCTTAACAGCATGTGCTTAGAGAAGGCCTCTCTTTTATAACATTGCAAATGAGAGAGGCAGACTAGACTACATTTGTCAAAGAACTTTCAAATGGGTCTGGACTATTAAAGTCTCTCTGTTGTTTACTTTTCCCATCATTACAGCTGTGCAAATAAATCTGTTTACTGATATCTTAGGAATGAAAAGTTGATATTTGATTTTGTTATTTTCTTCTCTCTTAAGTAAAAGAATGAAATCCAGTTAATTTTCCAGTTCTTGCTAGGGAGAGCATGGAGCAACAGCTATTTGTCAAATAAATGCATATACATATGAAACTTCTGAACTCTCATTGGATAGCCAAACTATCACTCTTTCTCAGATTTGGTGTTTTGTTATCTCTTAAGAAAAAGAGATATAAGAGAAACACAGTTAACTACCAGATTCTCCTTACGAGGCAGAATGTATAGCTAGATGCATAGCTAGATGTATAGATTAATCTCTCAGTTATATAATGTTTAGCTTGAATCCAACTAAGAACTCCATTTTGTGAAATACTATAGTAAAGAATAAATACTTTGGGTATTTTATTGAAGAAAGATTAGTGTACTCCATAGCACAAAACACCAAATCAGAGAAACTAAGCAATAATACCACATGTCAAAAATTGGAATCCATTACAGAATGCAAACAAGTTCAAAATTAGCAACAATTGCAGTTTACCAATCCAATGAGAGTTCAGAATTCTGATCTAAGTGCACCCTAACATCATAAAAACGCTTCCTGTATGCAAAGCCATGACTCATTTCATACAGAATATGAAATTCAACTGTAACCTTTGAAGATTGCAAGTAAGTGGAATACCAGATTTGAAAAACAGCTGTAGATCAATGCTTTCCCTAGCGTTATATCATGTCAAAAAATGGAGTCCATAGCAGAAGTGCAAACAAGGGGAAAGTTAACTCCAGTGTTACTTTAGCAACCAATTAGAGTTCAGAATTGTGATCTAAATGAAATGTATATATAGATTGTTTCACCATGATAGAGTGGCGTCCTCATAGCAAAGCCTGTGAAAGCTTATAATATAGAATAGGGAATTTAACTTTTGTATTTTGTTCTCCCCTTGGTTCCATTAATGTCTCTCTTACTTGAGAACAAAACACCAAATCTGAGAAACTTCGCTTTATCACTGCATGACACATTTAGATTACAATTCTGAAGTCTTACTGGATTGCTAAAGTAACGGAGTTAACTTTCCCCTTGTTTGCACTTCTGCTAACTCCATTATATGACATGCAATATGTAACATGCAATAAAGTTTCTCAGATTTCTTCTTGGGATCACTCTGAAGGCAAAGTTTCATATTTTTTGTTTTGATCTCTTTTAAGCAAAAGAAAGATTCATGAAACCAAGTGGTTTTCCTGATTCTCCTTGTTAAAGAGAACATGAATCAACAACTGTTTTTCAAATCTGGTATTCCACTTGCTTGGAAACTTTAGTGCTTACAGTTGAATTCTGTATTCAGTATAATACATGTCACAGGGATTGCTGCAGAAAATGAGTTGATTTCCATATTCTGCTTACTAAGGAGAAAAAAAGTGCAGCCCTTTTTCAGTTTTAGTATTTCCTCTTGTTTTTAATTTCAGTGAATTTTGTTCACTTTTGCATTGCATATAAAGCACAAGAGAGGAGTTGTTTAGACTAGGTTGCTGTATGATGTTCATGCAAGTTATATATATAACTTCTCTAAACCCTGTAACCTTTTACAACAAACTTGACCTTAATTTTAGAATATTTAGAACATATTCCATATATCCTCAGGAATAAAGGAAATTAGGGTTTCCTTGAGTTATAGTTCTCATCCTGGATCAATTCAATATTGTTCTGTTATCAAAAATTAATAATTGTTCATTAAACTTTCATTCTTCGCAGTTTCACATGTTATTTTACAAAAATCAGTAAAAGAAGAGAAAGAACACACTTTTCTAAGGTGGAAGAATTCACCAAGATACTTCAGATTGTTCACAGTAATAGGATTTTTTTCTCTATAAGAAATGTGTGCTAAACGAATGCTATAGTTAACTTTTCCATTCTTTGCACTTCTGCTACTAACAATATTTTGTGGAATGTGGTAATAAAATGAAGTTTCTCTGGTTTCTTGTTGAAATCTCTTTTAAGCAAAAGGGACATTCATAAAACCAAGTTGATTGTACATGCAACAGAAAACAGGTGTAATGAATTTAAGCCTTCTATATATATAATCATATAGCCATAGAACAGCCATGTTTATCCTATTCATGAACTTTACTAGGAAACTCACGTTGCTGGTATGAAGGAATGTTGGAATGTACGCGAGATACCTTGTATGAATGAGTTCTCAACAATGACAGGGCTGGAATGCTGGTGGGTGTAAGGAATAAAGTGACACATCATAAATTTATAAGATAACGGGACGAGAGGTACCATTGTAACAAGTCACCCAACTGTACCGAATATGAAATGTTCCTGGCATGTACT